GTGTGGCCGGCTGGGGGGTTTCAGAGCAGGGAGGCAAGCCTTCCCCTGTCCTGCGAGAGCTGGACGTCCGGGTGATGGACGCGCGGATGTCTAGCTAGGCCCCGCCCCTTCTAGCTAGGCCCCGCCCCTTCTAGCTAGGCCCCGCCCCTTCTAGCTAGGCCCCGCCCCTTCTAGCTAGGCCCCGCCCCTTCTAGCTAGGCCCCGCCCCTTCTAGCTAGGCCCCGCCCCTTCTAGCTAGGCCCCGCCCCTTCTAGCTAGGCCCCGCCCCTTCTAGCTAGGCCCCGCCCCTTCTAGCTAGGCCCCGCCCCTTCTAGCTAGGCCCCGCCCCTTCTAGCTAGGCCCCGCCCCTTCTAGCTAGGCCCCGCCCCTTCTAGCTAGGCCCCGCCCCTTCTAGCTAGGCCCCGCCCCTTCTGGCCAGGCCCCTCCTGCTTTCCCCTCTCCATTCCATAAGCACACCTCACCCTCACTCCGCCCCTTCTGCTGATCCGCAGCTGGGACTGTGTGGGGAGGGTGGCCCATGTTGGCTGTTGTGCACCCACTGTGTTTTTTTTTTTCCTGTGGGTGCTACAGCCCCCGAGCACCTATCAGTTCAGTCCCTTGGCTGATGGATGCCCCAGGGATTTGGCCATGGATCCCCTCTGGGAATGGTGCCCAATTTTCCATCCCATTATGATTGGATCCTTTTTTGCAGGCAAGGGTAAGAGCTTGCGGTGCAGGGAGCTCCTGGCCAGGGCTTCCTCGGTCCAGGGAATGGGCCGGGGAGATTTGCTCCTAGGTCAGAGCCAAGCTCCGCGGGGTGTGTGGGTGGGACCCCCGCCCCACTTTGCCCCCGCGCTGTGGAGAGAGGACTCCGTCTCCAGGGCAGACAGACCCTTTCACCCGCACAGAAATGGACCCAGCTTGCTGGTTAGAGCAACCCCCAGCCCCTCTGCCTGGCGCAACACACCCCACGGCCTCTGTGCCCGCCCCGGCCCCTTCCACGCCCGTGCCCAGGCTCGCGGGTGACGTGTGCTCTGTGCCGTTGCAGGGTGATTCGGGGGGCCCGGTGGTGTGTGGCAAGAAAGCGAAGGTGGCCGGCGTGCTCTCCTTCGGGCCCACGCTCTGCGTCGACATCTTCAAACCGCCCGTCGCCACGGCCGTCTATAAATACAGGATGTGGATTCGAAAAGTCCTGTTTCGGCCATAGGGCTATTTCTGCCACGTCACCTGTAAGCTCCCCCCACGTGGCCTCTTCTGCTGCCCCCAGGCCATGCAGGGCCTGCCCGGGGCTAGCAAATAAGCGCCCCCAGCCACATATGCCTCCGCGTCGACATCTTCAAACCGCCCGTCGCCACGGCCGTCTATAAATACAGGATGTGGATTCGAAAAGTCCTGTTTCGGCCATAGGGCTATTTCTGCCACGTCACCTGTAAGCTCCCCCCACGTGGCCTCTTCTGCTGCCCCCAGGCCATGCAGGGCCTGCCCGGGGCTAGCAAATAAGCGCCCCCAGCCACATATGCCTCCTCGGATCCGCCTGCTGCGGATTTCAAATAAAAATGAAGCCTCCCCTGGCGCAGGTGTGCACGTCTTGGCAAGAGTCCGAATGCGACTGCTGCTGTGTCTTGTAACTAAGCGAAAGTCGTGGCCAGACTGTTTGGGGCTGGAAATTGTAGCCGGGGTAAGGCACAGCTTGGTGGGGCGTGGGCGGCTTCCCTGCTCTGAGAGATGGCACTAAGAGAGGGGGAGAGGTAGATACGTTGGAGGCAGGAGTAGGGTCCAGAATGTCCCGGACAGATTAGAGGATTGGGCGAAAAGAAATCTGATGAGGTTCAACAAGGACAAGTGCAGAGTCCTGCCCTTGGGACGGAAAAATCCCAAGTATTGTTACAGGCTGGGGACCGACTGGCTAAGCAGCGGTTTGGCAGAAAAGGCCCTGGGGATTACAGTGGATGAGAAGCTGGATATGAGTCACCAGGACGCCCTTGTAGCCAAAAAGGCTCATGGCACATTGGGGGGCATTAGGAGGAGCATTGCCAGCAGATCCAGAGATATGATTATTCCCCTTTACTCGGCTCTGGTGAGGCCACATCACAGACTGGCATTATTTTCTGGAAATGCTTTTAACGGCAAAGTTTTTCGTTAAAAGTATTTTCGGAACAGAGTGTCTAGATTGGCACGGACGCTTTTCCGCAAAAGCACTTTTTGTGGAAAAACATCCGTGCCAATCTAGACGCGCTTTTCCGCAAAAGAGCCCCGATCGCCCTTTTCGCGATCGGGGCTTTTTTGCGGAAAACAAATCTGAGCTGCCGACACTGGCCCTTTTGCGCAAAAAGG